CTCTTGATAAAATGTTGACCCAAATCAACATTTTTATGAAAACCAACCATAAAAACATGTTGCAAAATACCATAACATTATCTGAATCACCTTGGGATCTGAACCAGAGGTTATTATAGCCAAAACTCAATGTTGTTGAGCTAACGGAGCTGTTAAATAACTCATTTGAGCCCATTGACAAAGAATGTTAACCGAAGTCGATTCATTATCAAAAGTTCCCAACATCTCAGCTAACGGCTCAAACTCACGCCAAAGGCCTCGGCATCCGAACCATCAATGCTACTAATCCAAAATGGATATTTTAATTTGAAGTATATAGACTCATCTCTACACACCAAATATAAAACATACAAAAGTTACGTAAAGGAGAAAATTAAGAAATACTTACGAACACAGGCAAGTGACCACGAGAGTCATTATAGTAGATCTTTTTCAAAATAATAAAACTTAAAAAAAAGTTACAAATCTATCATTTTATAAATTTCAACTTCTAAAAATTTAAACAAATAGTCTTCAATAAAGTTATGATAGTACAAAATTTTAAATCAAACGTATGAATAAAGAACGTTTAATTGTATTCTCATTGTAAGAAATTTGTTTATTTTTATTATAAATAAATCTCTCCTCAACCTTAATGGGTTAAAACTTTTTTTCTTTTTATTATAAATTCTAGCATATTCAAGTCATAAGCAATAATACTACGTTTTACTTTATTCTTCGTTAAATAAAATTATGGCTTGTATCTTCTTCTCGCATAAGAGTAATTTGAAGAAAAAGTTATTTATTGGGAGAGAGAAACAACTAAAAATAGGTAAAAATTGATATCACGAAGGCATGAATAATGTTAATCTAAAACCAAGTTATTTGTACAAAAAATTAATTTAGATCAAACTTTGTAAGTTTTTGAATACTTAAAAAAACTAAAATCGATAAGTATATATTTAAGATATCATTTTAAATCTACTATTATAAGTAGAATCATTTCCTCTTTTTAAAAAATTAGGGTGGAAATCATTTAGACCCTTAACTTTACATTAAAAATTATTATTTTTCCTTTTATTTGAATTATAAGCATTTTCCTCTTATTTATGCATATCTATTTTATTCTTGTCATTTTAAATTCTCCATCTATGTAATGCATATATTTTTATAATATATGTGTGTGTGTATATATATATATATATATATATATATATATTAACATGCTCTTCTTTTGTTTTCAAACACATCAAGATGTCATCAATAAAGTCTATCACAAAAGAGTCAAGAAAGTGCTTGAATACTCCATTCATCAAGCTCATGAAAACTACAGGTGCATTTTTAACCCAAACGACACAACCAAAATTTCATAGTGCTCATAACGAGTCCTAAGCTCCGCCTTGGGTATATCTTTAGGCCTAATCTTCAATTGATGGTACCTTGATCTTAAACAAATCTAGAGAAATCGCCGCACCTTGTAATTGGTAAAAAAGATTATTACAACTAGTAGATATGAGCCCACAACATTAATAATAACAAGTTAAATATTAAGAACCTTGAACTTTAATCCATAAAGATTAAATCTTGATACTGCTTCATGAGAGATAGCATGTGTCGATAAATAATTTAGGTATGTAGACACAATCAATAAATTATAAAAAAAATAACTAAAATCATAAAAAAATAAGCACATCAAAAAGAAATTTCACCAGTTTGTCTCCATTAAGGAAAATGGTAGAATCACAAACGGGAAAAGAGCTACCATTTGGTGTTGCAAACAATAGGAAACTCAGATCTATCTATTATTCTTGATAATCATGGGGAAAAAATCTTCCCAAATTTCATCTGATTTAGCAACAATTTGAATCCTTTGGAATAAAATTATGAGTTTAACTACTATCCATCGACGGTGGACATAAAATTACACAGGCATATTATTTTTGGAAATATTTAATTTTTTTAATTAATATATTTTAATATTATTAATATTAAAATAAAAATAATAACAGAGTGTTATATGGTAACTTGAATTATAAATTAATTGTACAAATTTAATTAGGATTCTTATTTGTCTTACCAAAAATAAAAAATACATAATTTCTTGTGTTTTCTTATTGGAAAGCACTTCAATCCTTCAAAGAAAATCATTGCCAACATATTATTTTTTTTATAAGAACCGGTACTTGTTGCCATTGAAGCAATGCTAGCAAAATATTAGTATGAAACTATTCCAGAAACATAAAGTGCAACAAAATCAACATATTCAAACTTATAAGAGTAAGCAAACAAAATCAAACACTATTAAATACGGCCCATGATTTAATCACAATTGCATGCTTGGTTACAAATTTTATTCTTTCGGTGAAAATTTTTTGTTGCTATACGTTGTTATTGCTGCTGCTATGTATCAGAGAGTGGAGTATCCTTGCTAACATATATGAAGGCATAAAAGAGTAACTAATTCACTATGAATAAAAACACAATCAACAAAAAAAACTAAAGCTAAAACTCTGAGTTATTGTATGTAAACTTAAAAGAAAAAAAGTCTTGAACAAAAAATATCCCTGGATTTATATTCTGCCAAAGAAAGAAAACAGAACAAAATGAATTTTGAATAATTGTCTCTCTAGACATCCTTTATAGTTTTAAATTCCACAAACTCCAAGTCACCTTGTAGATTAGAAACCTCTTTGATATGGATACGAAGTTGCTCTCATCAAATCCTGAAACAGTAATTGTTTACAAATGCATATATGCTATAAATAAAATACATACAAGCGCAGTAAAATAAACCCACCATAAATGAGGTTGGATATGAATCAGCACGACCACTTTGCCCTTCAAAAGGTTCTGAATATGCTGAGAATTCCTTTTAAAATGATTAAATAAAAGAAAAATTTGTTAGCTAAAAAGAGAATGATACATAAGAATAAGTCTTAGTCAAAATTCACATAATTTATCAAAATAAAACCTTATCATTGTAGGATCTGCATTAATGATTGTTTCCCTGCTATTGAATTCCTTTTCAACATTAATGTGTGAACTGAAAATTAAGCAAATAATTGAAATATGTGATTTATTCAATGAATTCACAATAAATTAAAGATCAAACTATAAAATTACCTTACTCCTTTGCCTTTTTTTCTGATTTTGGTTTCTCTTTTTGATTTCATCGAAGAGCTTCTTTTAACCTTCTGAGAACTTTCTAAACCACTTTTCATTCTCAAAGAACGAGGACGTCCTTTAGTAGCCACGCATGGAGGGTCAAGCAAACTAAATTTTTCTCTTTGTTCACTTGAGTTCAAATCATTATTTGACTCGTTAACTTGATCATCACAAATATTATCATTATCCTCATATGGAAGTTCATCAAGTTCTTTACTTAGTTGCAACAATTTCTGATATGTAAATTTATAATGCTTTTCTGAACGAGTAGCTCGTTCAGAGAGCCCAAGAGAATGTGTCATAATGTTATTAAACCATATAGTAGAAGACTTCAGATTATACGCAAGCGATCCTGCACTTGATATGTCATTAGCTTTTTCTGTAGTTGCATACCTTGTCCATCGATCCAATAAATAACATGCTGGAAGGTGAATCTGTTTCTTTATAAATATCATAAGCACATGTCTACACAAAATTCCCATGAACTCAAACTTATGACAAGAACAAGTAGCATTCTTTAATTAAAGATTCAACCTAACAATATATGTCGGTGTTTCTCTCTGAAACAAATGCACTTTATAAATATTTATCCGATCCTGAACCTCAATTTTTTCTGAAATAAATTTTTGAGATTGAATTAACTCTTCTTGAAATTTTTGAAATATTTTTCTGGTATATATTTTGGCTGCTTCATCCTCCATTGGATATAATGTTTTCAAGAAAGCCTTTGAATGCTTTGTCTTATAATCCTTCTCCCTTACTTTGTCATACCTAGCGTCAACAGCTTTATCATATTGCGTCACAAATACACTCATTGGCGTACTAGAGTTAAGATAATCTTTAAAGTATTTATTCATACTTTCACTTCTTTGAGTTGTTGACATTCCGGCACAAAAAGTTGTTCGCATATATGCTGGAATCCATTTCTCGCGAATGGTGTATATCTTACGCAACCAAATATGCTCTTCTAAATTGTACATTTTCATTATATCGATCCAAGCAATTTCAAATTCCTCAGGAGTTGTTGTACAATGTAAACACTTACTAAACTTATTTTTAAAATCATCAAATGCATGAAAAACATGACTTAGATATTCAGGAATCTTCTTCTCAATGTGCCACATAAAAAAATGGTGTGCACTATTCGGGAACACCTTTGCAAATGCATTTGTTATTGCAGCATCTTGATCTGTGATTATTGTACGAGGGGAAATACCAAACATTGCCTCTTGCCAAGTATGAAGTAACCACTGAAATGTTTCTTCCATTTCATCCCAAAGAAGAGAACATCCAAATAAAATGGATTGGTGATGGTTATTAACTCCGGTAAATGGAACAAAAGGCATCTTATATTTATTTGTCAAGTATGTAGGATCAAATAGGACAACATCTCCAAAATTCTTGTAAGCTATCCTAGACCTAGCATCTACCCAAAAACAATTAGCTAAATGACCCTCCACATCTATTTGTATTGCATAAAAGAATCCTGGGCTATCAGATTGTCGCTTTTGAAAGTATTTCAACATCAATTGTGCATCTCCTTTCTCAAGACAATTTTGCCTTTTAGTGCTCAAATAATTCTGAATATCTCGTCCAGTTATATTGAGATTCTCTATGCCTCCCGCCTGAGTAGTTAACACTGATGCGATTTTACTTGGACGAATACCAGAATTATTTAAGAGATCAATAAGATTTTTTTGTGCCTCTGATTTTTTTCTTTTTGATCGCAAGAATTTCTGACTATTAGGAGAAGCAAGTTCATGATTATGATTCAAGACAAGCCTAGCTATAACCCACTTTTCTTCTTCTTTCTTTGACATATATATCATCACTTTGCACCCCTCTCTAGTCTCATCTCATTGCTTATTACTCTCAAGACATTTTTTTGAACGAAATCCTTCTTTTGAACAAACAAACTCTTGACCAATAATGGATTTATCTTTTGTTGATCTACTAATTCGATTTTTGCGCACACTAAAACCATTACGATGAGCATAATCAAGATAAAATTTAAATCCAGTATCAAGTGATTGAAATTCCATACCGATGTAAGGCTCTCTTAATTCTTGCTCACCTAGTTGAGGAACAAAAGATACAACTGCATTCATGTTGCTTTCTATATCCTCCAAGGAATCTTCAATTCCATCTGCATTTTGCTCTTCTAAATTAGAGATTTCAAAAGTTTCCTGCAATACACAATTATTAGATATTACACTGATAGGGTAAGTTAGCTTTAAAATTTTAAATATTTTTCATGGCTAATGTATTGAACTTCTTCAATTTGCTAAAAAGTTCTTAAACGTATTCTTTAAATATCTTCATCACTACAAAATATAAATTTCTTCATACATTAAAACAAGAATATTTCTTTGAAATGTTTATTCATGTTGCGAAAAAGACTTAATAAGTTATGTAAAAAAAGATATACGAGGAAAACGCTACCATGATAATTGTTTCAAATTGCTTCAATGGTGGATAGTTGGTTGCTTCAATGGTTTATGTAGAAAAAGAAGAACGTTAATACAACTAAGAAAACACAAGAAATTATGTATTTTTTATTTTTGGTAAGACAAATAAGAATCCTAATTAAATTTATACAATTAATTTATAATTCAAGTTACCATATAACACTGTTATTATTTTTATTTTAATATTAATAATATTAAAATATATAAATTAAAAAAATTAAATATTTCCAAAAATAAAATGTCCGTGTAATTTTTTTGTCCACCGTCGGTGGATAGCAGTTAAACTCTAAAATTATTGATCTTACTGGATTTGCTAGAGTGGTATTTTAAATGATTTCAAATTTGCAACCTTCTAACAAGCTTTCAAAATATTCCATTGGACCAATAACGATAGAAGAATTCATGTCACAAATCAAACCAAAATATATAACAATTATTTCTGTTCAAAACATTATATTTAAATAAATAATCAAAAGTGGAAAATACTTTAATTTAAATCTGTATTGCTAAGTATATTTATAAGTACAAATAAGCATGACATTATGTTTTCCTACTGTAGTTTGACTATGTAGTACATTAATATTTTACTTTAGAATAACTCTTTCCTTACTCAATTAGTACTCAATCATTATTCACCATAATAAGATACAAAATACTTAAAATGACCTTCACACAACATAAATGTTATTGTTTTATTTATTTTAAAGAAAATAATATAAAAGACAATCAATTTGTCTGCACGAGTTTACAATAAAAACTGTTAATATAACACATTTTGCTTCTTGAATAATGTTTAAATAATTAATATCTCATTTGGCCATATATTTTAAAATTTAAACTTGAAATTAATTTTTTTAACAAAAATTGTGCCTTTTTTCGGAAATGGAAATTATTTGAAGATCTTATATAATTTCATGGTCAAATACCATAAAAAAAGAAAAGAAAATAAACAATATACTTTAAATATTTTGTGCACCAAAATTCTTCATTATTTAAATTACATAATATAAAATATTTGGATAAAGTAAATAAGCACATCATACATTTTTTGTAGAAGTCAAATGTCCATCAGTTTTTATTTATTCAACATGTGGTACTCTTTTTTTTATTCTCTACAAATAATAACACATGAATATCATATTATTTGTTAAATTCCACTCTTCCTAGTAATTATAAAATAGAAGATCAGCAATATATATTATTAACCTTTTCATTTACAATTAGTTTAATATCTAAAATCATAAAATTAAATAAATTTGAGAAAAGACTTAAAACCCATAAAAACATCAATCAAAATTTTTATTATCACTAATTTTTGGAGGATCGTATGAAAATCTTATATAATTTTAAAGTGGATTAGATGCCCATATATATGTTGAAGAGGTAGAAAGAGTGAAATAAACCTTTTTTAAGAGAGTGAGAAGTTATATTCTTACTTATTATAGTTGTATTTCTCTATCGTATCACCTTAATTAGAGTTGTTTAGATTGACGCATCATATTAAAATGGATTCATCCTAAAATCAAGATCAAAAGGGACAGTTCGATCTCAACCATATCAATTTAATGTTAATTCCGTACGTTCACTTAAAAATACATCAGAATAATTTAAGACACTTAACTCATAAACGAGTGTACCACAATTTCTTTTATTAGTTAAATTTTCATGTAAAACTACATCTCTTCTTCAACAATAAATACAAGGTTATTCGCTTCACATTTTCACATTTATATTTTATCTTCTTCTACTTATAAAATTGTATTTTGTTCAAACTATCATAGTCATGACTCAACAATTCATAAGGTATCTAGTTGAAAATGATATTTGTAAATGCAATGAGTATTGTCAAATAAACACATCGAGAACTCTAAGAAATTTCCGTCGTTATAAGTTTTTCTGTTGTGCACATTCGAAGGTAAAATTTTTAAGTGTTTTCTTTAAAATATCTAGATATTAATGCAAATGGTCAAAATGTGGGGATTAAAGTCCAAATCTCTGTGGTTTAAAACCGTGCTAGTTAGTTTTACAAGAGTTTCAAAGACCAAGTTATATGTGTCACAATTAATTTGTGAAAGTTTTTAAACTACCCCTGCAACAATTTGCGGCAATCAATTAGCGATAGTTTGAACCCCAAATATGTATTTCAAGAAATAAGTTGATGGAGTTTTTAAACTCTTCGAATCATTTTTATAAAAATTTTATTACCTCTTTTTCAAGCTTTAAGCCTACACCTGTGACGTGACCAACACCTGAGAACCATCGTTGGTCCCCATGCAAACCCTTGGCCTAGCTCAATACTCAGCGAAAGACTTACTCAACAATATTGGAACTCAAATGCAAAACTCAACTCATATTGTCTCATTAATAGAATGGTTTAACTCAAAATATATGAAATACTCAAATAAACATAGGTGTGCAACTCACAAGGGAAATGAGAAAACACTCCTTAGCAACTATTATATATGAAGCCTCTAAATACTATGATGAAAGTCAGGAAAAGACCTAGGACATCCTAAAAAAACTAAAATCTAATTGTGGATCCCCCTGGAAGAAGAAGTCTCACCAAGCCAGCTGGAATGAGATGGGATCAATGAAGCGCTGGTTGATGATCCTAAACACTTGTATCTGCATCATGAAACGATGCAGGTCAAATTACATCAGTAGCTTGAATGTACAAGCATGTAAAGGGAAAACTCAACATCGGGATAGTTGAACTGATATAAAAAGAAAACATACTCACCTCAACTCAATTTGAAAGAAACACTAGATGCAATATATAAGGCTTTTAACACAATAGGTAATAACTCAAATCTCTATAAAAATATAATAATAAACTTCTTACTCTTATTTGGGAGATTATCTAGCCAACAACCATCACTATGATCTATGTGATTATACACACTCTCGTCCATGTTGTCACAACTGTCCAATACCTTGAAGAGGTGTAGAACATCCTCAACTAAGTAGATCCACTAAGATATGGTTGAAATAAATAAAAAATCACCAAAAAAATATGATTTTTTACCCATTGTTGGAATATATGGTTTATGAGGATTTTTATTAGTCAGAACTCATACCCATAATGATGCTCAATACTACTCTCAATAATATGTAGAACTCATGCTCAAATATATAAAACATCAATAATATGTAGAGCTGATGCTCAAATATATAAAACATAACTTATTCTAAACTTTTAGATATGATCATTTGAAGTTGACCAAATTAGATTCATACATAAATACTTATTAGGGTCAAGGGATTGATCATTCAGTAATGATTAGATCCCTATTAAAGACTATACAGAAAGAGAACTAGAGTGTTGTTTTTATAAAAGTGCAATGTCCTTTTTGTGAAATATTATATTGGTTTCTATCGAAAAAATCCTTGTAATCATTAGATGTTAGAGGTACTATATTATATCAATATAATTAATTTAGGATATTTTGACATATTCTAACTCAGCCCAAGGCTTAAAATCTAGGGAAAATATTATACTTTACATCAAGATTAGAACTTAAGTTTAGGTTGCATGAGTTTTGGATCTAGGCTACACATGTAGTAATATTGGTGTCTATGAACTCATTTGGTTATGAACATTACATATTTCATAGATTTGGGAGCATTCTGAAGCTTTACGAATTGGGAGAGGCAAAATGTTGAGATTCGTGATACATGTTCGACATTCAAGGTACATTAAGATTTCAAGACATTATTGAAGGATGTTTTTTCTAATTTAAGATTAAAAATAGAATAGAGCATGGGTTAGGGAGAATGATGGGAGGTCTCATACCAATACGTGCATTGGTACGAGTACCAGTGTTATATAGGGAATGTTTATTTCTACAGATTAAGGATTGTAACCCGAGGATGTAAAAGTAAATGGGCATTAGTTGATGTATCATTTACTTGAATTCTTTCGTGCGATTGTGTTTTCTTTGTTAAACCCGTATATTTTTGATATTTTAGGTAATTATACAAAACTATATAAAATACTCATATAAACTCGTATATTCGATGCATCGTCATCCCCTATTATTGAAATCATATAGTGCACATGCATCGACATGAGATTAATTATAAGTTTCACACGTGAAGATCTTCCATGCTAGGGATTGTGAGGTGTAAAAATTATAATTTGGGCAACTGGAGATCATTCATACGATAATCATTTAGCTTTATGATAGTTGCTTAAGATCATCCACACAGACACATAGAGATCGTTTGAGTTGATATATAGATATTATGAGTCCCCCATGTGTGATGAATTCTCGATGCATATTTGAGCATTATCATGTATATACGGTTGAAATAGTACTTAGCACTTGAGGCATATCATTTCATGGTTTTACGTTGAATTGCATCTCATCACATCCTTTATTCTTTTTTATTATGTGCTCTATTGGTGATTGGACATTAAGTGTCATTTGATTATCCCTTTTTGATGAAACTTTACTAGTAAGTATAATATAGACTTTTACAAGTAAAATGATGAATTCTTATTTGAACTCCTGCCATTACTTTTTCATTGTAAGTCTATGAGATATAGTGCGTACATGTTTTTTCATACTCATACTGCACTTGTTGCACTCTTTGTGGTGTAGATTTATTTCCGAATACGAATGCATCTCGTGGAATTTTTGAGTCCGAGCTTTGAATATCTTGGAGTTGTTGTGAGCTACATAGTTGTTCTCTAGCCCACACTCCCTCTATTTATT